GAACATCCCGTGATTTGACGATCCGTGTGTTTCTGATCCCGTTTCTCTGCTGGCCTTGCAGCCCCCCCCACGGTGCGGATCGTGCACTCGGGCCTGGCCTGCAACATCGAGGAGGAGCGCTACTCCGAGCGCGTCTACACCATCCGCGAGGGAGAGACCCTGGAGCTCACCTGCCTGGTCACCGGCCACCCCCGGCCACAGGTGAGTCCCTGCCCACCACACCTGTCCCCTCCATGAGCTGGGTTCACCTTCAGAGTCTCCACGGTGGGCAAGATCCAATGGGATCCAGGTGAGGGATCCATCCCGGCTGTTGGGTGGATGTTGGGTGTTCCAGAGGAACATCAACAGCAGGAATGTTGGTGATTTCTTTTGGAAAATCTGGTGTAAAAATCAGATTTTTACACCCTAAATGCCTGGGTTTATTCAAGTGTAAATTCCCAAATTTTCACTTTAAATTCCCCGTGTGTTTGATTTCCTTAAGAGGTTGGTAAAAGAAAGGGAAAAGAATTCTAAGGGTGACAATTGTTGGAGAGTTTTCTTGGAAAATCTGGTGTCAAAATCAGCAATATTATGCTTTAAATTCCTGGTGTGTTGGATTTCCATGGAGGTTGGTAAAAGAGAAGGAAAACAATTCTAAGGGTGAAAATTGTTGGATGAAAATCCCTGAAGTTTTCCTGTTGTCTGGGATCTTCACACCCCAGTCCTCAGAAACCCAGCTGGAGCTCTGGAAGAGGGAACCCAAGAGCTTGGGAAAGTCTCCCTTGTTCACCTGGATCAGCAATGTCATGGAACCCCCAGCATTGCAGCTGGATAAACCAGAATTACCTGGGAATAAATTCAGTTTTTCCAGGCCTAACCTTATTTTATCAAGCTCAAGATTGCTGGCAACTCCTGCTGCACCTCCCTGGTGTGACCCCCTTGGGCCAGGACACTGCGTTTATCAGTTATTTTTAATTAGGACAATCATCAGGGATTTTCTTGCCAAGGTGATGAATTAAACTCTTTGCTCTTGGAATTGCAATGGACAGGCAGGAACTGGGAACAGGGAATTCAGAGGCCTTCAGTATGAGCTCCTCCAGGAAGGAGGGGTTTGCTGCTTTTGTTGTTCATTCCATGATTGTTCCCAATTTAAGGGGAAGATTTAAAGCTAAAGTAGTGGAAGTTTATTCTGTGCTGGTTTAGGGATGGTGTTTCCAGCATTCCAATTTTTTCCTGATCTTTCCACAGGATGCTCTCAGATTTGGGTTGCAAATTGCATGGAAATTGTTTTCCAGCTGCTGTTTGATCAGATGCTGGGGAATTGGGGTTATAAAATATGGAGTTGTGCATTCCAAGAATGCTTTCACACTTCCACGTTGACTCAAATTTTCCAATTCTTCTTGGCATGGAAACTCCTTTTGGCTTCAATGCTGGAAGAATTAAACAATCCTGGATTGGGAGTTTGTAAAATCACAGAATTGTGGAATGGTTTGGGCTGGAAAGGAGATGAAAAATGAACCAGTGCCAACTCCTCCCATGGGCAGGGATATTTTCCACTCCAAGCCTTGAACATTCCCAGGGATTTCTAATCTGTAGGATTTGAGGCTCTGGGAGGAGAAATGAATTAATGACAAAAAAATTCTATTTTTTTCCTTTTCTCTCCTGTCACTCCTTCCTGCTTTACCAAAGCACACATTTGTGCCTTTTTTGTCTTTCCAACATTTGTTCTTTTAACTCTGGGATCAACGGATGTCGTTCTTTGGGGTCTGATGACTCAGGGATGTCTCTGATCTGCTCCAAGTCATCCTCGCAGTGATGCCACTCTGGGGGGCCTCCCTTTGAACACAGATCTTCAGATTTATCAAATCTTCCCATTTTCACAGCTCTCTTTGCTGCCTTTCCCACCCAAATTTTCCCCTGGGGTTATTTCCAGGCAGGGAAATTCCTGTGTGCAGAGTTGTGGTTGCGCTTTCCAATTGCTGGAAATTTTCTGGGATTTCTCCTCTAAATTTTCATGGAGTCTTCTCAGCATCAGTGAGATTTTTGGGAGGAATAATAAAAGGGTGTGGGAATTATCAGAAAGAAGGAGAATTAAAAATAATCACTCTGTTAATCCCAAAAATTCACCTCACTCCTAATTAAATACAAGACTTTGAGCACGCCAACACATCCTTGAATGTCTGCTTGTTATCCATGGAGTGATTTTGAGATGTTCCATGTGATTAATATTTGTTATTCCCGATTTCCCACCTTCTGACACCCAGCTTTGGAATGCACCATTAGTTGCCATAGAAATAATTTTCCTGGCTGGAATTTTTAAAGCACTTTATCCCCACTCAGGTGAGGTGAATGCAGCCCTTAATCCCATAAATTGCAACTGTCGGGAGAGGTTGGTTTGATTTTTGGATAAAACCCTGCCAGGTTTGGAGCAGGATCACCCTGTGGGGACCTGTCCTTTTTCCAGATTTTATCCAGGCTCCATGGCCTGGGCTGTCCCTGCTCTCCAGCTCCAAAGGGATGTGCCAGGATATCCAAAGGCCACTTACCCCTGGACACAAATGAGGGATTTCCTGGATTGAATAGTTAAGAGGTGACATTTTATCCCCACTGGTGACAATCTCCTGCCCAGCCTTGAGGAATGTGTTTTTTTCCTGATTTTTCTTGGAAATTCTCACCCGTGCAGGCAGGTTCAGTCATTGGAAAAAAAAACTTGAGCCTTTCCAAAGTGAGGAATGACATTTGGATCATGGGGAGCAGAGAAAGAACCATCCGATGAGCAGAGATCGGCTGGGATTTTGAATTCCTGGTTTTCCGCTGAAGGATGAATGGGAGGGTTTGTCCAGGTTTTTTTTTTCCAGGCTTTTTTCCCAAGTTCCCAACAGGAACTGGTCTCAGGTTGTTCCAGGGAAGGTTTACATTGGAGATAAGGAAAGATTTAATGGAAAAGATTGCCCTGAGGCAGTAGTGGAGTCGCCATCCCTGAAGGGATTTAAAATCCCTGTGGATGTGGCACTTGGGGACATTGGTCAGTGGTGGCCTTGGAAATGCTGGGATTCAGTCTTGGATGGCTTTTCCAATCTCTGTGATTCCAGGAGTTTATAAAGACCTTGTTTGTCAATCCAACCTCCCCCTCCTTGGGCTTTGCTTTCCCCTGGCTGTGATTTTTCCAGTGGTTCACCCCCAGGTGCTGCCCCACCTCGGGTGACGTTATCCTGGTGGGAATGGCGCATTCTCTCACATTATCCTGGTGGGAATGGCACATTCCAAGCAGCAAAAGGTGCAGAGCTGACAGGGGACAGTGTCCAAGTGCTCCCCCAGTCCCTCCCAGTGC